TGTGACCTGTGACACCACAGCACTCTACCCAGGGCAACAAAATGAGACTCTGTCTCAAAAAAAACAAACAAACAAAAACACAAAACAAAACAACAACAACAAACAAGCTTTTGGATGTCAGGTGTTATTTATGTCAACTCAAATCCTTGAGGGAATATAAATAAAAGCAAAGCTCTTCCTTTATTTCTCATTGATATAAGATGGAGAAATTTTTAGGGAGAGAATCTAAAGGAATCCTCACACAGTCCTTCATAAAAACGATTTAGTTGGGAGGGGTGAGGGTGCAGAACGTTTTAATGACCAGGTTCAGGTAAATGGAGGCAGACCTGTATTTACCCCTATTTTGTTGTCGTATTATTTACAGGTGAATCTGAATCTGCCAGACAGAGGCTTCAGTTTGCATCTTGACAGGGCTATGGTCCATCTGGGGCTCAGACCCTGCTCAGAATCCTCTCCTACAGTCCCGTAAGCTTTTCTGCTTGCTGGAATTTTCCCAGGGCTCTCTGGAAGGTGCTCCCTTTCTCTGGAAGGTTCTGGTTCCGAGGTGGCACCCTTCCTCTTCCTAGACTTCTGAATCCCACCTGTATGATCCAGCACTGCCTCTCTGATCCATGTATGTGGCAAGCATAAAACCTCTGAGATCCCTCCGAACCCTTCCAGTAAAAAGGCAAAGGAAATTCCCACTTTTCAGAGCAGACGAGATGCTTGGGTAGGGCCCCTCTTTGAGATTGAGCAGTGTCGTTATGAGGACAAATCATCCAGCCTCCTCTCCAGCCACCCCCTACACCTGCTCCATATCCTGGGGCAGTCCTAGCCCTCATTGCCTTGATTAAGGAGGGGCTGCCTGTTTGGAGGACCCGTTCTATCATTCCTGACACTGATCTGAGCAGAGTTCATCACTGCCATAGGAAACTCCCCATGGTTGGACTCTGTTGTCCTTCTGCTTAGCTATGAGCCTTGACTTTGAGGCTTGGAGAGCCCCATCCCTGATCTTGGGCCCTTGGAGGACGTGGATTACAGTGGTGGCCATACACACCTCACCTGATGGTGTGCCTGAGGGGCCCAGGAGAGTCTGCCAGGTTCTAGCCATACCTCCTTGCCTTTCTTTCCTTCCTTCTTTCTTTTCTCCTTCCCTCCCTCCCTCTTTCTCTCCCTTCCTTCCTTTCTTCTTTCTTTTTTTTTGGCTCAAAACAAGACAAATGTATTCTCTTACAAGTCTATAGGTCAGAGCTCTGGCATAGGTCTCAATGGATTAAATTAAGGTGTTGGCAAGACTTTGCCCCTTTCTGGAGAGGGTCTGTTTTCTCACCTTTTCCAGCTTCTAGAGGCTGCCTGCTTTCCTTGCTTGGCAGCCCCCTCCATCTCCAAAGCCAGCCATGGCTGGTGGTGGCCTTCTCACATCATGTCACTCTGTGACACATCACGTCACTCTGACTCTGCTTCTGCCATCACGTTTCTGTCTCTCACTCCTAGACACACCTCTTAGGACTGGGAAATCAAATCAGACTTCTTTGAGGTATCCAGTGGCAGGGGGCAAGGAGGGGCTAAGGAGGTCCGGAGGGGTGGCTGAGCTTCCACCCCTGCTGAGCACATACAGAGAACAATTGTATTCTTAGAAAGATTCCCCTGCTTAAAACAACCACGGACCAAACACAACAACAGTGCCTCAGAGTCAGGGCTGAGTCACAGAATCTGTGAGGTGGTTGGAACAGGCTTGGGTGTCAGATAGCCACAGCATAGAGCTGGCTCTGTTGTGACCAGCATGGCTTTGGGGAAGCCGCTCCACCTCCCCCTGCTGCCTTGTGCTGCTCCTTTCCCTGAACAGCACCCTGTCCTCCCATCTGAGTCCTGCCAATGGTGAGATTGTGATTCCTCCCTTTGGGGGTAATGTGTGTGGTCCTGAGACCCTTCAGGGAGACCCTGGCTTCAATACTTACTGTGAGGCTCTGGATTTGACTTTTGTATGCCTCAATTTCTTCATCTGTCAAACAGGTATAATGACCATACCAATTTGCATGGGGCTGTTTTGAGAATTAAATTAATTAATAATGTATAAGATGCTTAGAACAGTGCCCAGCCCATCAAAAGTGCTCAGTAAGTTTTACCTTTTCTTATTATTACTATTAGAGTTATTACCCTTGCCAAGTCACTCAGATATGACACTTCTAAAGCTCCTAGGCACACAATAATAGTAGCCACTAATATGACTATAACTCAACTGTAGAAAGGAGGCTCCCTAACCCTCAGCACTGATGCAGAGATTAAAGGAAATAATTAGAGCGTTTGCCTAGGAGCATGGCTCTCATGCAGTCCCATGGTAATCCCCACCCCATCCCCAAGCCCATTAAGGGCCCAGGTAGCTATATCACGTCAGATCTAGTGCCTTGGCATCCACACAGTCCTGTCTGGAGAACGTCCCAGGAGAACCTGCCATCAACAAGCAGACTCTTGGAAGAAAGGGAATCAGAGGGCTTTAGTGGTAGCTGCTGGGTGTGTGCTACTTCTGTTGTTTCTGATTGGGCCAAATCTGCACTCTTACAGCTCCCCTCCCTCGTGTTTCCATCCAATTGGGCCCTCTGCAACCTCAGGCGTGGAACCTGGCAACCAGGACTGGGCGGTCGTGTTTGTCCAGAGTGCACAGGGCAGGGCAGTGCTAGGAACTGGAGTTCCTGGGACATGTGGAGAACACTGAGAACCTGCCTTTTGGGCCACCTTTTGAGAGGTGGAGAATCTTTTTTTTTTTAGACAGAGTTTCACTCTTCCACCCTGGGTAGAGTGTCATAGCGTCATAGCTGACAGCAACCTCAAACTCTTGGGCTCAAGGGATCCTCTTGCCTCAGCCTCTCAAGTAGCTGGGACTATGGGCACCCACCATGTTACCTAGCTAGTTTTTTTTTTCTCTTTTTAGTAGAGACAGGGTCTTGTTCTCACTTAGGTTGGTCTCAAACTCCTGAACTCAATCTACCCACCTCAGCCTCCCAGAGTGCTGGGATTACAGGCATGAGCCACTGCAGCCAGGAGAGGTGGAGAATCTGAAAGTCTCAGTCAACTTTCTGCCTGGGGAAGGCAGCACACAAAGGTCTCCACCTACAGTGACTGGGGCACTCTTCCCTGTCACATCATGACCCTAGATCAGTGGTTCTCAACCTTCCTAATGCTGTGACCCTTTAATACAGTTCCTGTGGGTTGTGACCCACTGGTTGAGAACTGCTGCCCTAGATCTTCCCCTGGAGGGCTGTGGCTGTAGGAGTTTGGGATGGATGTATTCTGGTCTCAGGAACCCCCTGACAAACCAGTCTATTTTGAATAAGTCATTTGGCTGTCTTGAAGTTTTTTCCTAAAGTGACTTGCTAGGGGAACAGTTATCAGTTACTTCAATGTTCCAGTTAGTAGAATTGGAATATATATATATATATATATATATTTTTTTTTTTTTTTTTTTTTTCCTAAAGTGACTTGCTAGGGGAACAGTTATCAGTTACTTCAATGTTCCAGTTAGTTGAATTGGAATATATATATATATATATATATATTATTTTTTTCTGGGCAAAGGGCTTCTGCCAGATACAGAGATATCAATAGTCCTGGAAACATTCTTCAGAGACTGATATTCACCTTGTAGAATGAGGGCCAAAATCCCTGT